GTTGAGCGTGAAAATCCCAGTAACTGAGCAGATTGTGAAATACTGGCACCAACAACCATGCCACGCTCAAAATTGCTTCAATCACCTTTCTTTCCCGTTCTGACATTCAGTTTGGAGTTCAGGAGATTGTCTTGACCAGGACCACACCCCGAAATGCATTGAAGCAACTGCCATGTGATTGGTTGATTAGATAATTGCATTAATGAGAAATTGAACAGGTGTTCCTAATAATCCTTTAGGTGAGTGTATATATAGGAAATACAATAATAGAGAAGACTATATGCATAATGCATTAAGCTCTGAAACTACCTTTTCATCACAATGAGGACGTTTTTCGTCTTTCATTTGAGTGAAGTTCAAATTTTCCTTCTGACACACTCATCGCCGGCACTGTCAATCCCACAATCCCCTGCTGCTCGGCAGCCATAGAGAACGAATGAAAAGCGTCCGCTCAGCTCATCTGACTTAGCACCAGTGGACACGTGTGATAAAAACAAAGCAGAAGATGAAGTGTAAAGCAGTCTGTAGACTATCACCACAGTCAAGTACAGTGTGTCGGTATATTGAATATATTCTGTTTGTGTCTGGAGCTGCCAGTAGGTGTGTACATCACATAGAGAGAGCAGATCGATCTCTCGCTCTATCTCTCTCCTGGCTGAACGTCAGATAAAACACATGCTGACTCACAATATATGTGTGTGTGTGTGTTTGTGTGTCCCTCTGCCCAATCAAACTTCTGTTATGGATCAATTCACTCGACTTTCATGTTTATCAACTCTGATGACAAACTGATGTGCACCATTAGCGCTTTAATTGGTCAATTACGTACCTTTAAGAACAACCGGGGTCAACTTATGTCCGTTCGGCACAAGCGGTTTCTATTCCAGTTCTGTTTAAAATTCACCGCGGTACAGACGGGTCTTCTCGGTTCACTGGCCTACAAAGTCCACTACGACTCGAGCAGGAAACATGAACTCCTGGAGACGTGCGGACACTTTCTCCTCTGCGTCCTCCCTGTTTTTTCTTTCCCTCTGTTTATCAATTTTCTCCTTGTTCTATCCTCCATTGCTTTGGTTTCAAAGAGCCCTGGGTGGATTTGCACATGAATGAGCGTGTGGTGTTTAATTACGACCTCAGATGCACTCCCCTTGCGGAAGAGAGGAGAGACACATGACACAAAGCAGATCAGCCGAATTAGACTTTGACAAAACGGCAGCGGGCATGCATTGGTATTCCTCAGACGTCATTGTTTTGATGGGAAATGGCCCTTTATGTTTTGTTCTTAGAAGAGTCTGGGAGCGATGCACCACAGAAAAAGGGAGAGAGAAAGGACTGAAATTCAACAATTTTTATACTTAAGACAAACAATAAATTGCCAATGATAAATGGCAAAAAATAACTTTTCCCTTTTGAATTTAATACCCATATTTATCCCAATGGCCATTTTTTTCTCCAAATGAAATTATCATAGTCCAAGTAAAAATATTCCATTTAGTCTCTGAATTAATATGAGATCACAAAAACTACATACAAATCGTATACTATTAATAATGACAAAATTGTATAACACATGATTTTTTATTAATTATATATACTAATTATCCATCTAATTATATGTTTGATCATAATTTGCATAAATATTACACTGTAAAAAATATTTTCAAGATTTGTTATCACAACATATTTTCTTTTGTCAAATCAACTTTATAATAATTTATTTAGTTGAGATAACTTATTATTTTGAGTTTCTGACGGTTAAATTAATCTACTTCATTGTATTAACTCACTTTTTCCAGTTCAATCAACTTAAAATTTTAAGGCAACCCAGGTTACTTACTTTTTTAAGTTAAACCAACAAAAAAAATGTACAGTGTAGTAATCACAACATTTTTTTCTTTTGTCAAATCAGATTAAATAATTTATTTAGTTCAGATAACATATAATTTTGAGTTTCTGATGGTTAAATTAATCTCCTTCATTGTATTAACTCACTTTTTCAAGTTCAATGAACTTAAAATTTTAAGGCAACCAGGTTACTTACTTTTTTTAAGTTAAACCAACAATATTTCTTTACAGTGTATTAATGGATATTATATAAAATGATATTTTACATATCAATTACAATTAAAATCATTTAAAATTTTAAAAATATGCATAATATAATATAAATGTAAAGTTAGCGTGTTAAATGTTTCAAATTATATTTTTGTTACAATAATTTATATTACACTTTATTTTAATTTATTATATTTCTTACAATGATTAATAATTCTTATAACAAATATTTATTATAATTAATAGTCAGAAATGTTAAAAAAAAATGTACTAATAAAAATCCCAGGAAACACTGAAGCTAACAGCTAAGCTTGACAATGCCAAGACCTGACAGGCATATAAAGGTAAGCATGCGCACATATGCACACGCCAGGACACATTTATGAATACAAATACACACCGTAGGAACACCAGGCCAATAAACAGAGCAACATACACACGTGAACAAATAACAACACTGAATGATATTAGCACAAAAAATCGCCAAAGAACAACAAAAATACATCAAAGCTGGCCTTAAAAGTCTTATCAGTGCCATAAAAACAAATTAATACCCTGAGATGAGATATCATGATTGAATTACCCGAGCGCTCGTTTCATAAAGAGTCACTACTGAGATACAAGCGCTCTTTTAACTTCAAATTAATACGACGACACAATCATTGCAGTGCTTTCATTGCTTTAATTATATTACGAGATGAATGCGTGTGTGTGAGCATTTAGGACTGATGTCGGCTGTGTGTCTCCAGTCGTCGCTTGCAGTGTGAACTCACACTGGTTGTGACCCCTGAAGACAGCCTGGAGTCACACAAGCTTCATTAGGAGCAGGAAAGCACTCGCTGCACTAAACAGCCATGGCAAATTGCAGACTGAAATCAGTGCCATTATGTAAAGGCAGGCCGGGGGCGGCGAGGGGCTGTGTGTGTGTGTGTGTGCGCACATGTGTGAGACTCAGTGGGAACACTTGTGTTTACATGTTTGTTTGTGTGTGTGTGTGTGTGTGGAGGACAGTTGCCCGGCAGTCTCTTCCCTGCTGCTCTGTGTCCTGCCGCTGTCACACACTGCGATCATATCATTAACGCTTCATCGTTAAGCTCTAATTTGGAGGCACTTTTCTCATGTGAACCACATAATGTGGGCACACAGATTCTCCCTAAAAACATATTAAACTGTTTTCTAAAAGGTACATTACTGTTCAAAAGTTTGTAATGTTGTAATGTGCAATACTTTTATTTAGCAAGGACACATTAAATTGATCAGATGTGACAGTAAAGATATTTTTATAAATGTTTTAAATAGATAAATGCTGTTCATTTCTAGTCATCAATCCTAAAAAAAGTGTAAATTTTTAACAAAAATATTATGGTTTTGAACATCTAAGATAATCAAAAATGTTTCTTGAGCAGCAAATCAATGATTTGTGAAGGATCATGTGTCACTGAAGACTGGAGTAATGATGCTGAAAATTATGTGATCACAGGAACAAATTATGAATTATTTTAATATATATTTCATAATTTTAATAGTTATTTTAAACAATATTACTGTTTTACTGCATTTTTGATTAAATAAATGCAGCCTTGTTGAGACTTATTTTTTTTTAACATAAAAATAAAATCTTACTGAACCCAAACTTTTGAACGCTATTCATTTTCAAAGACTTTTTTCTAAATATTGCTAAAAAAAAAAAAAAAAATCACAGTTCACGATCATTGGAATGGTGTAAATAAAATCCGGCATAACAATATCCACCTTTCTGGATATGAAATGCATGTTTTCTATAATAGTGTATAAAAGTTTGATTACTTTAAGTCAACAAACTTCTTTTTGTTCTGCTTGAAAAATATCCATGTGCTTCTTTCATGAAAATAAATGACTGTTTTTGTTATCTAATGCAATGACACTCAGACATTTTGATGTGCGGCTTAATTCCTAAAATATATTTTGGGGGCACCGTGTTTGTGTCGGTGTGCCTACGTAAAACTCAAACAACTCAAAAAGCATCTTATGAGTCATTTGGTATCTGATGTCAGAGCTGAATCACCAAATAGCGTTACACAAGAAAACAAGGTTCGGCTGTGAGCTCAGTAAAGCAGCGCTTATTTGCCTCTTCTGCTCACTGTACTTACAAATGTGTGTGTGTGTGTGTGTGTGTGTGTGTGTGCACGTTGGGTGAATGACAGCTCCAGATGCTGGCCAGGTAACCTCTGGCCATGTAAACAGCTCTTGAACCCGAAACCCCGCCGTGATTTGTCTGCCCACATTTCCCCTTTCCCTTGATTTGCCTCCCATACAAACACTTGCTCTTTCCACGGTTTTCTGTTTATGAATAAATCCAAACGTATCTTTCTGGAACGCTGCAGATAAGCATGCAAAATTGCTCTTTTTGGTACCGTTGGATGTTTTCGTCTTTACTCTCAAGTTCTTTATGTCATGATTCAATTTAATTGCATGCCCTTCTATAGAAATAAACTGCACTGAAAACATTTGGAACGTCAAAGTTTAAAATGAACGTTTGAAGGCTTTTGACGTGTGCTACATATATAACCACATAATATCTTAATTTGCATTCATCATCATATCACAGCTGTTATCTCTTTGGATAGATATAGAAACTGGCATTAAAAGTAAAAAGCTTTTTCATTATCGCTACTCCGTAAATCAAGTAACACTGTAAATTTCGTGCTGAGCCCTTATCACCGTAGGGTGATGTTCTACGATCTCACCACATTACCACCCACATTAATGGCATTGGTGAGCAAAGACAGCATTAAGCTAATAGACCTGGCCACATCTTGCATTATAAATAGTCATTAATATTCCATTATCTGTCTGCACATGCCCGTGAAATGTGCAGGAACTGGCAGTTGTACCGAAATGTACAGTACCTTTCTGCTTTTCAGGTAACACTCTACATATAAAACAAGGAGACGCTTTCATCTTACCTGGTTTTGGGGGACGTCGTCAGCCACTCTTCATGTTTTTCAAACGTTATCAAGTAGGCTGCAATCTCCTGCAACAAATACACAAATATTTAGGATTGTGCTCTTTTACCGTCTTAAAAATGCCAAGTGTCTAGTACAATAACATTACAATGTTAGCGTTCCATTATCAACTAAGCTTTATTTTCTATTAAAAAAAATAATAAAAAATCCTAGTCAGCACACATTCTTACAACATTCCACATTTTCTTGTTCTGTTATTTCCCACCTTTTCTCCACTGGCCACACTATCAAAACACTACCGAAAGCACCATGTACAATGGCATTCTTAGAAATACTTTGAGGCATCATGGGCCTCACCAGGAATGAGTGGAATTAAAATGTACTTTAATTCAAGTTTAAAAAATGTGAAGGTTTATAGACCTATAACGATAGATAGAATGAAAGAATGATAGATAGATAGATAGATAGATAGATAGATAGATAGATAGATAGATAGATAGATAGATAGATAGATAGATAGATAGATAGATAGATAGATAGATAGACAGATAGATAGATAGATAGATAGATAGATAGATAGATAGATAGATAGATAGATAGATAGATAGATAGATAGATAGATAGATAGATAGATAGATAGATAGATAGATAGATAGATAGATAGATAGATAGATAGATAGATAAAAAAATGATGAATAGATAGAAAGAAAGAAGGATAGACAGATAGATAGATGGATGGATGGATGGATAGATAGAACAAAAGAATGATAACTGGATAGAAAGAAAGAAAGAACGATAGATAGAATAAAAGAACGTTAGATGGATAGATAGATAGATAGATAGATAGATAGATAGATAGATAGATAGATAGATAGATAGATAGATAGATAGATAGATAGATAGATAGATAGATAGATAGATAGATAGATAGAAAGGAAAAATGATGAATAAATAGAAAGAAAGAAGGATAGACAGAACGATAGATAGAACAACAAAACGATAGAACGATAGATAGATAGATAGATAGATAGATAGATAGTTTTCTCTCTCTCTCTCTCTCTCTCTCTCAGGTGCTGTAAAATTGACCAGCTTTCCTCCCACAGCCCTTATAAAACTAGAGTCCTCAATTGAAACACCACAAAACAGTCTTATAAACTTAGCGAATGTTGTCCGAGAGCATGATCTTGTGAAAAGCGAGTTGAGCATTAGTATGAGTAACCCGTCCGTCTCCACGCCGAGATACAAGAGTTGCGGATGTTTCTAGATGACCTGGCGATGACCATCGTTCATCCGTCGCTCCGGGGGATTGCTAAAGTGTTCAGACGGCCCGCCGCGCGGCTGTCAGGAGCCAGATTACACAGACACAAGGGCCCAACGGCATCTCGAGCCTACAGCCAATCAGCACGCCATATCGACTCTCAACTCCTCTGTCAAGAGCCAGATCCTGCATCGTACCGTTGTGCAACCGCGCTTTAGACAACATTCACGTGCACATGAGTTACTTGTGCCTGAATTCTGAGATCAGTTGAAAGACCGATCTCATTTTATGCACCAGTGGGCTCGTTTTAGCAAAGCGTGAGGAGAATGAGTGTCTAGAATACAGAGACGACTTACGTCATACATGTTAACAGCTCTATCACAGTTGTTTGCTCTTCATGTTAAGTAGAATGTGGCTAAAGAGAGAGGATTTGGGTAACAAGTGCCACACGTCTACAGGACAGACACATCAGGACGCTCTTCACAACGGAGCGGAGGGGAGAGCGTTTCGGCTGACAGTCACGCGTAAGATTCGCTGTGTATCTACATGCGGCCATATGCTCTCTTGGCTCGGCTCTGAAAACAGGCAGAAGGCCTAGGGAAGTGTATTGGAACACAACTGGCAATGTTGTCTCTCGGTTTCAATTTAGAGAAGCCAACTTGTGCAGTGCCAATTTAACCCTGCTGGCCTCATTATTGAAGGCAAAGAGAGAAGGGATGGGCTTAACAGAGGAGAAATGAGTAGCGCATTAAAGAGCCAAGAGGAAAGAGAAGAAGTGTTCTCAAGTAGAAGAGAATTTCAATTCAACTGCAATTTGAATTCACGAACGTTTAATTAAAATGAACTGAAATTCATATACATTCTATGATTGTTTAGTCACTCTAACACAGTTCCAAACCCGTATGACGGTTTCTTCAAGATATTTGGAAGAATTGCAAACAACAATCCTCATTGACTTTCAATGACGCATATAGGTTCGGAATGATATGAAATTAGACACAAGATATCTAAAAACGTCTTTTAAAGGTCCCATATTCTGCCCCTTTTCACAAGATGTAAAATAAGTCTCTGATGTCCCCGGAATGTGTATGTGAAGTTTCAGCTCAAAATACCAAACAGATCATGTTTTACAACATGTTTAAATTGTCATTTTTTTGGGGGCTCAGAAAAACGCGCTGTTTTAGTGTGTGCCCTTTAAATGCAAATAACCTGCTGATGCCGGAACAGGGGGTGGAGCTTCTCAGGACAATTTCATCTCACGGAATGATGATAATAGTGCTGTAGCGGCGCGTCGATGACATCGATGATTCGACGTCAAAATTGCGGCGACGTCATATTTTTGCGTCGACGCTTCTTTATTTATTTATTTTTTGCATGTTCCCGGCGGTACAGCTTGCCACACACACGTGGGAGACCGAAACATTGCAGAATAGAGGACGAAGACAACTAGAAGTGAATGTGCTATCCATTAAATGAATCACACACAGTAAACAAACCCTTAAGAAAAAAAAAATTGCAATTTAGACGCGCAAACTGGGTGCCGGTGTGGTGAGACGTACAAGCTCGGGCAGATTCGGCTTGAAGTCGTTTCCGGATGCGGCGCCGGGCGCGCTGTTACAAAAAAAAGGCGTACACACAGCCAGCCACAGTCTTGAGTCTTCCTGGTCTTGCGCACCCAACAACGCGTCATTTTTGCCGTGCGCACATTCGCGCACATTCGCGCTCGTGCGGACGTGTCGAGTATAAACAAGGCTTTACTCCGTGTCAGCACGCGCTCTGATCAGTAGGTGCACAAACCTCTCCCGATTCATCTCCAGTAGTAGAAGCCTCCGATCGCACCACTAACTCCACCTCCGTTTCCCTCCGCAGATATTAATATTTAAACATTCTCTATGATAAAAAATGTTTGTAAAAAATCTTTTAATAACACGGTTTTGGCGGTTGTAGAGTTATAATGATGGTGTTCAAATACATAACATTAGACTAACGTTAGCCAGCTTATAGTATCTTGATTCAGTATGCCAGTATTTATTTGAGATATTGTTTTTTTATTAATTGAGCAGCAGAAAAAATATTCTTTATATTAGTCGTCCAATTAGTCATTAGATTAGTCGACTAATCGATAAAATAATCGCCCAACTAATCGTTTAGTTAATAATCGTTTACCCCAGCCCTAGATGATAATATCAGAAACTCTCAGTAACGGTGTTCATTTCGAGTCGGACAATAATGCCTACCGAGTCAGAGTGCTGTATATAGATTGAACAGGTATAGTTTAGTAGTTTAATCACGGTTATTATAACACACTTGTCATCTGCTTGTATGTATCCATTATTTAATAATAGCCTACAAGTCTGCTGTTTCGGACCAGGTCCGAATGATGATCAAACATATACTGATGAGTTTAATAAAGTTGTACATCACACAAAAGATGAAGCGTCAGTTTTACTTCAGAAAATCACCGTAAGAGATGAGTTGAGGGAGTCAAAAAACTGCTCTACTGACGGCATTAAAGAAGGAAGTAGAGGGATGTAGTCCAAACAGGCCGTTCATGTAGGCTACTAATGTTAAATAAATTATCTCGCTTGGCATTGAACATTGAGCTTTATAATTTTACAGATATTATTTTTACTCTAACAACAGCATTATACACTAACTAAAGTTTGAAACTTGGGATCACGAAGAATGGGACCTTTAACTAGAAAGGAAGTGTTGGAATGTCGGCTTGTCTGACTGAAACTTTAAAATGTCAGACACACTTCATTGTGATATTTTTCAAAGCGTTCCATCATCTCATGTGACCGCAACACACACTTCTTTGTTCTCCTGTTTACCGTTGGGCTGGGGGCCTCTATTCTCACCGTCAGATTGTTTGTTAGGCTGGGACCCTGGGAGTGTCCTGGCACTGCCGCTGATGGACTGAATGAAAAACAATGACCCGCTGTAATTTGGCAAACAGGCGACAAGACAGATACCGAACATCGGGGAGCCGGGCCTTTGTCAAATTCTGTTTATTAAGGAGTCCATTCTCAGCAGCTCGCTCATCTTTACCGTCCCTTCCCAGCCTAGTTTTCCTCTATTTTCGATAAGCTTGCTTTTTTTTGTGCTCCATATACATTCCCAGCACTCCTCCCCTCCTCTTTGCTCTCACTGCCTTATTATTCCTCTGTTCCGCGCTCCTAACTCAGAGCTGTAGTCACCAAAGAGATTATATGACAAAGTCATTTTGCATTGAAATGAAGATGAAGGCCTCGGGGTTTCAGCGTTGTGCTAGAGAACATCCCTTCCCCGTTCCTTCGTTTATCCCGTTCCCCCTCCCTCTGACTTCTGAACCCCGGGGGCCGTTCGTTCGGATTCTAGCGAACCTGCTTCAGGCGGCTCTTTCCCTAACCCGCGGTTAACCTGAAGGGCGGCGTCTGACTGCCAATGAGCGCCTCCAAGTTTGCCACTCAGGAGACGGCAAATGTGAAACTCCTCAAAGCGCTCTTTAAACTATAATCGGGGTAAACGGGAGTCAAGAGGTGTGTGAGAAAGATTCGGCGCTCCAGACAAACTGAAGTGTCTTTTTCCTTCCAGACGATGCCTCCCTCTCTCTCTCTCTCTCTGGCTTACGTCTTGAATGCTTGTTGCTAAACTTCGTGAAATGTAAATCGGCCTCCTGCGTGCGAAAATGATCTTTGAAATACTTTTAACAATTAACACCAAAGGAAGACTTGAGCAAATCCTGCTACCTGTTTCAAAAGGCCAGGCCTGCCATCCGTCTCCTTCTGTTGTTCCCAATATGAAAGAGAAGTCGTGAACAATATGACT